GATTTTGTCATGTTTAGCTCACTTTTGGGTACAAATTTGTCCCCAAAATATGGTTAAGTAGGCACACACACACACACACACACACACACACACACACACACACACACACACCTGTTTGCTGTGCATACAAAATTTTACTGTTTTCATTTCTAGTACAACCCTCTTTCTTTAGCTCAAGTATGCAAAACTATTTGCCATATGCACTGTAATTAATATGTTTTATATTAAAAGTAAAATTTTCAAATAAAAATGGCAATAGAAAACCGATTGCTCCCCCATGATATTTTGTAAACTGTCTTTATGACAAATAACTGCACAGATGCAGATATTATAACAATCTATCGATAAACACACACCTTGTCCTCTGTTTCTCGCTCTGCGCCTCTGCGGAATGAAGAACGCGCTGAAAGACGGGGAGGAACCGAAGTCTGCCGCCGTTTTCATATGAAATTTAAAGGGGACGGAGGCGATCACGAATTCGTGTACAGTTTATGTAGCTAATCGCAAAATTTTTAGGGGGGGCTGAGTAATCATTTTAGGGGGGCTATAGCCCCCTAAAAATGGCCAAGCGACGCCCATGCTCTTCACCATTATACACAGCTGCTATTGGAGCCATTAAAATAGTTCCGTTTTGTTTTTAATGGCAAAGTGGTTATATTTATTTTCGTTTCTTTGTGAAGTTAATTTAGAAATATGTTTGGAACATTTTTTGTTTGTAAAATTCATGTTTTTATTTTATTTTTTATATATAACGTCCAAGCTGCCAGCGGCAGACAGTGAATTGATCGTAGCCTGTTTGATCAATTTAGCCTTCTCAAATCATCACGGCTTGAAATACAATAAAATCTATAGATATAAAACACTTCAAGCATAAGTTAGTTTAAACGTTTAACCAAGTTAAATCCGGAGAGTGCAAGCTAAAGCGCGCTCTGCAGGACAAGGAGGCACAAGCGCTATCACTTGCATTTTTTTCCTAATAACAGTGGAAACAACTTGAAATGCGCCATAATTTTTGCTCATAAAGATAAGAGTAATACATCATTATACACCGTAAATGGTCTACTTTTATTTGTGTGTACTCACAACAAAACGTGTTTTTGTAAAATAAAGAAAACAAACAGGATGCTTTCTGCCGTCTCGTCTTGAACAGGAGCACTTCACAAAAATGAACCGAAACTCAGTGAATATTTGCCTCACATACATGATAAATATATCTATTGAAAGCTTCAAATTACTTTAATGCATTTCTCTCTAAAGGCACGTCCAGTGAGGAGATGGCGAGTCTCCTCAACTTCATCTTTCAGACACTGACTTAGAAAACACTAGTTTATTAATAAATAATTCTAATATCTATTTACTATTTCCCCCCAACACATTCATGGTAATTATACTTTTTTAGTTACTTTTTTTTTTTAAATCCTTGTTCGGGCAGCTCTAGTTTTAATCCAGTGTTCTGTTTTATTATAACTCTTGAATAAGAGAATAAGACAAAACACTGTCTACTTGCGTTGTAACCCAAATAAATAAGGTATTTTCCCTTGTTTAAAACGAATGGTTATTTTGTGCTTCATTGTGACCACCGTGACAACTCCCCCCCCCCGAAAATATGTTCCCAATGCCACCAATTCCTTCTTAGTGGTGCCTCATGACTTGCATTTGAAATGACCTAAAGTCATTGTTGACTCTGGACTTTTCTCATGCAAGGACTTCCCACAATTATGATTGATGATCAGTGTTGGGAAGGTTACTTTGGAAATGTAATAGGCTACAGATTACAAGTTACCCTACTTAAAATGTAATAAGTAGTGTAACTTTTCAATTACTTTATTAAAGTAATGTAACTGATTACATTTGATTACTTTTTGATTACTTTTCAAAATTTCTAATGTTTTCAACTGTTTATCATTTTCAAACATGTAAACCAGGCAGGGTAAACCTTACAGTAGTACTCAACACTGATTACTGTCACACTTACAAAATCCTTCATCACTTGAATTAAGATTGTATTTCAGTTTTAAAGCAGACATCGGATGCAAATTTCACTTTTACATGGTGTTTGCATATAATAATTTATGCATTTAGCAGACGCTTTTATCCAAAGTGACTTACAGTGAATTCAGACTATACATTTTTTACAAAGTGTGTATGTTCTCTGGGAATCAAACCCACGACATTTTGCGCTGCTAATGCAATGCTCTACCACTGAGCCACAGGAACATTAAAGGGGTCATATGATGCTTTTTTATAGATCATTATTTTGTGTATTTGGTGTAACTGAATATGTTGACATGCTTTAATGTTCAAATGTATGTTTATTACTCTATATTATTGTAGGTCCTCTATGCCCCGCCTCTCTCAAACGCTTAGTTTTCTACAAAGTCCCTCCTTCCGACAAGCGCAGTCGCTCTGATTGGCCAGCTGACCCAGTGCATTGTGTTTGGCCGAACACCGCAAGCACTTGTCGGAAATGTAATGCCCCTTACCATAATCGCGAGCTTCATCTTTCAAAATAAATGTAAAGACAGTAAATAATGTAATTAGTTTTACCATCAGTTCAAGCCCGAAAGGGGAACATAGTCAGTAATGATGCAGCACACAAGCCGCGGTTAAGACAGCTGACTCCACTTTGATGTGACGCT